TGGCAAACCTTGGGTTCTTCAGGCGTGATTTACGACCCATTGCATCGAGGCAAACCTTGGGTTCTTGGGCGGTTTTGCGAGTAGCGGAGCGCGCTCGGTGAGCCTCCCACGCCGCCCCGTGCTGGCCAGACTGCCCCGCAACGCGCGGGACTCGAACAGCCGCCCCGACACGCAACGCGCAGCCCGCAGCGTGCTGGCACGGAGCTCAGCACGCAGACTCTCGCCATCGCTCGGACGTCCATTTCCTGTGTTTTGTTCGGTTTCCTGCTTGGATTTCTGCTTGTTTTTTTCCGCCAAATGATCAAGGATGCTCCCCAATGGCCCTCGCCGAAGGAAAATTGCACACGTCCGAGCGATGCCAAGGACTGACCACGCAGATCTGGCGCGACAGGGCTCGCCAAAGTGGGGGCCGACGCGTGCCGAGCGAGCACGCAGCGCGTCAGCACGGACGTCTTGCACACGGCACGCGCTGCGCTTCCACACGGGCGCCCTCGGAGCAGCCCGGCGGGGGCGCCGCCGCTGCCGCCGGGGGGGGGGGGGCGTCTCGCCGCCCCGGCTGGCCCTCGGTGCCCCGGGGCCGCACGAAGAAGAGAACCGCGGCAGGGGCCGCAGCGGCGGCTCCACAGCGCCCGGCGGAGGTGGGCCGCGGAGCTCGAGCCGAGCTGGTGCTGCGGGGGGGGGGGGGGGGCGAAGCAGAAGGCCAAAAGTCCACCCCCAGAATGACAACCCCGACAAGCGAGGCCGTTCAATGAACGCACCCAAAGCAAGAATCGAACAGGGCGGGGCTGTTCAGGAAACGCCCAGGGCCGTTGAGTAAACGGCAATTGTAGGGATCGGGTGGCTTTTCCTCCCCTGACGAAGGGGAGCCAGGAGGAGGGAGGACGTGACCGGCGGGGAAGGCAGGGAGGACGTGACGGGTGGACGTGGCCGCGGAGCTCGACGCGGGGGGGGGACGGGGAAGACGCGACGGGCGGGGACGCAGGGGAGGCAGGAGGGAGACAAGGGAGGAGTGGGAGCCGACGCAGAGAAGCTGTGGAGGAGGAGGGGCGGCAGGAGGAAGATGTGGGGCAAGGAAGCTGAAGGACGAGGTGCAGGCGGAGGGTGTGGACCCGAGGAGGACCACAGGAGGACAGAGGGAGAGTGGGGTGGGTGGGAGGGGGGGCAGCAGGATTTGATTTGTTCGGATGGCGGAAGCCCACAGCATCGTGCACGTAGCCATCCGTCCCGTAGGCGAGCCTCACGTCTTCGCAGTCGACGAACGCGGAACCGTTCGCCAGCACCTGGACTGCCCTCGTCCTCGTGCCAGTCTTCGTCGCAATCGTCGTCCTCGCCCCTTCCTCGGGGGTCCTCGTCGTCGTCGTTGTCGTCGTCGTCGTCGTCCTCGTCGTCGTCGTCGTCGTCGTCGTCGTCGTCGTCGTCCGTGCTGTCCTCGCTCGGCCCGCGCTCAGGCTCTGCGCCTCTCCGGCCCAAGGATTCCCTCGTCCTTCCCGCATCCGCCGCCGCAGTGCGCCTCAGCGCGATCCCGCGTCCGCGCGGACGCAGCGCGCGTCCAGCGGTGAGGGCATGCTCCTCCACATCCTTATATCTGGGCAACCCACGTGGGCGTCGGTTCTGGATGGGCTGGTGAGGTTACTTTTTTGATCGCGACCGCGGCGAGAGATCGGGCGGCGTCAACGGGCGAAGCACAAAGGCGACGGCCTAAATTAGCGCACGGGAAGAGGAAGGCGAAAAGAGACAAGACCAAGCACGGGGGGAGGCTAACAGGGCAGGCTGGTGAGGTTATTTTTTTTTGGTCGCAGCCGCGAGACAAGGGTCAGGCGGCGAAGGCAACGTCTGGGCCACGGGCGAGGCGAATTGGCTAAAACAGGAGTGTCGGCCGGCCCCCTCAGACGGCAGCTGCAGGCTGGGTGACGCTGAACTGGCTTACGTACTGCAAGCTCGGGCACGTGCACTGGACAAGATGGTGAGGTTACGCGGATCGTCTAGAATTTCGGGGAGGCGACGAATGCTTCGCTGGCAACTCATGAGAGCCTCCAATACCATCTTGTCTGCTCTTGCGAATCGACGCTAAATCGACGCTAATCTGAACTAGCTCGACGCTATCTCATCAACTCCCAGACGCTAATCGGCGCTAGCCGACGCTAAAGACAAAAACTTGCGAGGGTACATAAGGCTGCCATGATGTGCTACCGAAGAATGCTCTCCAGGACGAGCAGCGGTGTCACACTGAGTGGGCGCGGGCAGCGCGGCGGCCGATCGACGGCAGCGGTGCGTGGACTACAAGTGCAAGGTAGGAGGAGGAGGAGGAGGAGGAGGAGGAGGACGAGGAGGAGGAGGAGGAGGAGGAGTAGGAGGACCCGTAGCCTGACAGTCGCAGAGTGCGAAGGTGAACCGCGCGCTTCTCCGAGCTCTGCATCCCACCCCCTCTCGCAGTTCAATGGTTCAGTGTTGATTGTCAGGTTCCTGCTGACCCGGTTCACTGCCAGCCCCGGCGGGTCAGGCTTTGCGGGATCCTGCAACATCTTGCAGGATCCTGCGCGCTGGTCTTGTAATGTGGGTCTTGTGGGGCAAGTTTTTGTCGAATTCAAACAATCAAAAAAATTGTCCAAAGGTCTCCGAGGAATGTCGGATGAAGTTGCAGCGCAACTCTCGCCATCGCTCGGACGTCGATGCCCCGTGCATTGTTCGATTTCGCGCGTTCATTTGTCCGCACACTGACCCAATCTGCTCCTCGATGGCCGCCGAGAAAACTGCCACACCTCCGAGCGATGCCACGAATTCCAGGCCCGCAGCGCCGAGAATTGGACCTCCCCCCCGCCTCGCCCTCGCGGCGCCCGTTCCCCGGGACCCCCCGGCGCGCGCTCCAGAAGGATTCGCCGGCTGCGCAGCGGTGGAAAAAAAACTGGCCCGCTCGGCGACAGACTCGCGTTCGGTCTCGCTGCCCTCGTTTCGGGGGTTGCTAGAGGTGCCCCTGGCCGAAGGTGCCCCCAGCTTCTCGCTTGATTCTGGAGCCCCCCTGGGCCCTCTGGGCCTCGTGAGGGGTGCTCTGGACGCCGTGGGGGCCTCCTTGGGAAGTCTGGGGGCACCTTGGGGCACTTCCTGCGGGGAGCCCAAGCTGGCTGGCTGGCTTGGCGACAAACTCGCGTTCGGTCTCGCTGCCCTCGTCTGTGGGGCAGCCAGAACAAGCAGCCGAGTGCGTCGCCAACACGGCCAACTGTCTCGCGCCAGCGCAAGCGCGAAGCTTCATGACACGCGTCGGTGGTCTCTGGGAACGGGCGCCACCAAGGCGAGGCGGAGGGGAGGTCAGAATCGGCGCCGTTGGTCTCGAAGTGCTTTTAACCATGTCTGAACGCCCCTGGCTAAATTCGGGCTCTCTTTTTAACTTTGGAGAGGGCCACTAGTAGACGCCTCCTAGAGGGGTCGGGGTAGATGGGGTCGGAGGGTCGCGCCGCATCGCCGATATATCAGCTATACGTCGCCGATGCATCGACGCATCGGCGACGTCGGCGATGCATCGGCGCCATCGGCGTGGAGAAAATCGGGCTCCACATCGAGCTACACCGTCGATGCATGGTCGATGCGGTCCTCCCCCAAGGCTTTTACTCAGCACCCAACTGCGCCATGGGCCTCGTCCGCCGACGATCTCTTGCAGCCGTAGTTTTCCTTGTCAGGTTGCCCCGCCTCCCCGTCCCCCCGTCCTCGTCCTCCCTTTTCTTGGGTGGGGGCGGGCTGTCTCCGTAGCTCGTGCTTGTTGTCTTGACCCTCCTCCCCTTACCCCGAACCTCGCATTGCGACCGCGGCGCATTTCGCGTCCGTCGGTATTGGTCTCCAGTGGCGTACATTGGAGCCAAAGCGACTGGCCTTATGACGCTTGCAAGGACCACGAACAAAAACTACTGGCAACATTGATCGAAGGTGCTCCCGGCATCAGGTGCCTGTAACCCTTGCAATACCACCGCACTTTGATCTGAAACCAAGCTGAATCACTAGGAGAAGCCATCCTGCTCACAGATTAGAGCACAAATGAACACTTGTTCGTTGTGTCCTGGCTAGTGAGCGCGAGCCGCTCTGCGAACATGCTCACAAGATCACGCTGCGTAGAAACAAGACTGACTGGCTCTTCCTCCTCGTCCTCATCTCCCTGGCATCCCTTTGCTGCTCCTCACTGCTCGAGGCAAGTCCGTCGTGCTCATCACTGTTTTTGCGTCCCTCCTGCCCAACCTCCTCTAGCCTCCTGGAGATTGTCGTCCACTCCTCCTCCTCTAGCCTCCTCCTCCTCCTCCTCCTCCTCCTCCTCCTCCCTCCCCCGCTTTGCGTCTCCCTTCCTCCATCCTCCTCAACCTGCCCTTCCCTCCTCCCGCCCTCCTCCCTCCGTCTATCCCTCCCTCTTGCCACGGTCTCTCTCTCTCTCTCGCTCTCGCTCTCGCTCTCTCTCTCTCTCTCTCTCTCTCTCTCTCTCTCTCTCTCTCTTCCTCATATCATCAGTCTCCATCTCCCTCTATGTCTCCCCCCCTCTCTCTCTCTCTCTCCTTCTGGTCTCGACCCGAGCTCCTGCCGGAACAGAGCGCAGCCACGACGCGAAACATGCCGTGCCCCCCAGCCCGGTGAGGCTGAAACTGGGCCCTCCGCCACGGCCTGCGCCGTCGCCCATATGTCTTCGCGCCGCGCGCGGTGGCCTCGTCACGGCCCGCGGCCTCGGCCTCGGCTGCGAGAAGGGCAAGACCCCCGAGGGTGGAAGCGGGCTTCCATGCAGTGCGGCCACTTCCCCGACATCCGCGTCCTGAGCAGCAAACTCTTGCTGCTCATCGTGCTGATGGCGTCTGTCGCGTTCCCGTCCTGGATGGATATGCCCTCCCTGCTCCACCTCGCGCCCCTCCCGCGCCTTGGGGCGCCCTTCAAGGTGTCCGAGACGACGCGCAACGTCTTCTGGGTGAACTGCACGAGCTACGCGCTCTCGTGCATCCAAGGGGGCCGCCCCCAGCTACAGCGGCAAACCAGACCCCGATGACCAACGGCAGCAGCCCGTTGCACTTGATCTTCCGCGCCCACCCGTGCTTCCACAAGGCCGCCTTCGGCGTCCACAATAGCATCGGCAAGCTCTCCGCGTGCTGTGCCGCGATCCCCGTGATCTTCGGCAACCTGTTCTGCTCCGTCGGCGCGGCCTCGTTCTCCGCGGCCTTCCGGGTCCCGGGCCTCGCCTCTCGGGCGCCAGGGCCCCCCCTTGGCCGCCGCGCCACTTCGGTGGCCAACTGGGCCCTCGCGCCGTCGGCCGCAACCCCCCGTTCATCGGGAGCGCCCTCGGCATCAGCGGTACTGCGCGGCAGGCCTTGCCCCCCCCGAGCTGGCCGCGTTCGCCCTGCGCGCGGTCTTCACGCAGTTCGTCGCGCTCTTCTTCAATGGCGCGACCTCGCCCGCCGCCGCTGGCCCTGCGAAAGCAATGCAGGGCGAGCAACGCCCGCCCACTGGCAAGGCGCTCATGGGCCACGACCCTCGCGTTGCCCACCCGCCGCGCGCCCGCAGGTCATGAATCGGAGTCGGCGGGTGCCGCCCCCGCCGACGCCCCGCCGTCGTCGCCCGCGGCCGCGCCGCCAACCGCCGCCCGGCCACCTGAACCCGGCCCCCCGATGCGGACGCGGGGCGCGCGCGGCGAGACACGCCCCGCACCGCCCTGAGCGGCCCCCGGGTCGACCCCGTCAATATTCGACCCCTGCCGACCCGGGCCGCGGCAATCAAGTCGGAGCGGAGGTGGTGTCCAGGGCCGAGCGCGAGACCGCGTCGACGGTCTCCGCGGCGTCGTCCGAGGCCGCCCCGGCGACGCCAACCGCTGCTGGGTCGCCGCGCTGGCCAGCGGGCACGCCGCCCGCCTGCCCCCCGCCAGTCTGACCGTCGACGCCCCAGCGCCAAGCCCCGAGGCGCTGCCCCTCGGCGCGCGCGCCCCCCGAGGCCCCCGCCTAGGCGCCCCTCCTTTCCCCCCGCCGCCCACGCGCGCGGCGGGGCAGAGGGGGCGAATCGAAGAGGGGGCGGAGGCGGGGGTCGCGTCAACCATGCGCCTTGCGGCCGCGCTGGGCCGCGAGGCGCCCACTGGCGACCGCGCCTCCGCGCGCCGATCGAGGGCCGAGCTAAACAGAGCGCGCGCAGCACGGAAATGTTTCTTGAGTGCTGCCTGCTTTCCAGCTCACGTGCGCAGCATCTAGCACAACTCACCGCCGCTCTCAGCGCCGCCGACGGCCTTCGCGCCGCCGCGCGTCGCGTCGCCCACGCGCGCGCCAACTGCGCACCAACTGCCCCGCATGCCTCCGGCGGACCTGGCCCGGGAGCGGCACCGCTGAGCGCGGCGCAGGCGCCGCGCCCACTGCCCGCCCCCCGCGCCCCCCCTCTACCCCCCGGGCCGGCCTCCGACCCTAGTCGGGGCTGGAGCGGACTTCGACGACGACGACGACGACGACAGGCGGACGCGCGGCTCTCAGACGGTCTCGGCCGACCCCGCCGCCCCGGGCTGACCCTCGCGCGCCGCCGCCACCGCCGTCGCCGGGCCGCCGGCCCTGCCGAGGCCCCTGGTAGCCAGCGACGGACCTGCCGCACCTCGTCCAGCCTTCGCGCCTGCCTCTCCTGCGCGCTGGCCGCGCGCTTGGTTCATTCCCTGTCGCGCGGCGCCCTCCGGCTTGGCCTCGTCTCCGCCGGCCAAGGGGGGGTCGCCCTCATCCGGGCCGACCTGCGCACGCAAGCCCGCCGACGCATCGAGCTGCGATCGCACGGTCTGCGATTCCCCACTCGCAGCACCCGCCTAACTAACGCTTGCAGCTCGTCCACCCCCACCTTCCGCTTGGACGAGGCCCCTGGCGCCCCGCGCGGCGAGGCGGCGGCCCTGGTGGAGCTCGCCTTCTCCAAGCGTCTTCGCTCCGACCTTCGCGCCCCCGCGCGGGCCCCAACCTGGCTGGGCGCCCTCGGAGCACGACAAGGCTGCGACATTAACGTCGGCCCACTCTGATGGCCCACATCTCGGAAGGCCCGCTGCATCGGGCGCATCGCCCCTTCAGGCCCTTGCCTCGCCAGGGCGCCGCCCCCCCTGCGCGGGCCGAGCCCGCAGCTGCAGCGGCGCGGGCGCATGTCGCGCCAAACGCTGTTGAGGCCGCCCTGCAGCAGCCGCGACTTCGCGGTGGAAGTGCCGCTCGCTGGCGCACCCTCGCGCTCGCTGGCGCCGCCTTCTCTGCCGCGCGCGCCCCACTGCCCACTGTGTCATGCTTTATCTTGCGCCCAGGCTAGGCTTCCACCGCGGCCGAAGGCCCCTCTTCTTGCCGGCCCCATTGCCCGCGCGGCCGCGCGTCGTCGGGGCCTGGCCGCGGCGGGGGGGGGCGCCCCGTCGCTCGCAAGCCGCTCAGCGGTCGCGCCCTTGCCCCATCGGCCGCCGAGCGAGGTTTCGCCGAGCTGGGCCATTTCCCCCCGCGGCGCACCGAGAGATATGGCGCGTCACCTGCTCGGCGCCCCGCCACTTGCTTCAGTCGCTCTGCGCGGGGGCGCGGTTGCGCCCGCGCCCCCCGCGCTTCAAGGCGCGCGCCGCCGCCGAGAGTGCGACGGCGGCCGCCGAGGCGCACTCCGCCGCCAAGGAGGCGACGGCGGCCTCGGCTACCGCAAGAGCTGGCTGTCGGCGGGACTCCCGTTTAGTTGTCCGATCTCCCTCTCTCCCCATCTCTTTCGGGGCTGCGCGAACCCGACCCCGCGGCCGCCCCGCAGGCGCTCCTCGCTGCTCTCGCCGCCACGCTCAGCAGCGGGCCGGGCGCGCCGCCAGTCCGCACATTGCCCGAGCTCGCCCCCCCACCTCGGCGCGCCGTCGCCGCGCCCTGCCCTGCCTCGGAGGCAGGCCCCGCCAACCGCTGGGAGGAATGCCCTGTAGAGGTGCCTCGCCGTCGTCGGCGTCGTCGTTGTCGCCCTCGCCCTCATCGTCGTCGGCGTCGTCGTCGTGCGTCTCCTTGTCGTCCTCGTTCTCGTCGTCCTCGTCGTTGTCGTCGCCCTCGCCCTCGTCGTCGCCCTCCTCGTCGCCGTTGCCCTCTTCGGTGTCGACGTCGCCGTCGTCCTCGTCGTCGTCGCCCTCGTCGTCGTCGTCGCCCCCGTTCTCGTTCTCGCCCTCGTCGTCGTCGCCCGCCCAAGCCGCGAGAGCGCCCTGCCGCGCGGCCGCACGCGGCGGCGGCCCCGCGAGGGCGGCTCCAGGGCGCTCGCGCGCTGCCGGCGCTCGCCCCCCCCCCCCCTCCCCCCCCTCCCCCACCCCCCTCCCCCCCCCCACACAACACACACACACCCCACACACACACACCACACAACACACCACCACCACCACCACCACCACCACCACCACCACACCACACCACCACCACCACCACCCCACCACCACCACACCACCATCGCACCACCAACACCACCACTCACCACCACCACGCACCCACCACCCCCACCACCACCACCACCACCACCGCCACCCCCTCCCACCGCGCTGTCGCGCCGCTTGCGCTCGCTCTCGCGCGCTCTTTCCCGTTTTTTGTTTGCCCCCCCCGTCTTTTGTGTTATCTCTCTCTCTATATATATATATATATATCATTATTTGTTTGTTTCTCTCTCTCTCTCTATTGCCATGGTCTCTCTTGCCATGGTTTCTCTCTCTCTTGCCATGGTCTCTCTCTTGCCATGGTCTCTCCGTTTTCCTCCCTCTTGCCATGGTCTCTCTCTCTCTCTCTCTCTCTCTCTCTCTCTCTCTCTCTCTGTATACATATAGATATATACATACATATATAGATGTGTGTATATATACACACATGTATATATTATTTATATGTATCGCTGGCTCGCTCTCTCTCTCTCTCTCTCGCTCGCTCTCTCTTTCTCTTTCTCTGTCTGTTCCTCTCCTTTTTTTTTCTCTATCTCTCTCTCTCTCTCTCTCTCTCTCGTCTCTCTCCCCCCCCCCCCTCCTCTCTCTCTCTCTCTCTTTTTTCTTTGTGTTGTTATCTCTCCTTCTCTCTGTCCTCTCTCTCTCTCCTCCTCTCTCTCTCGCCGCTCTCTCTCTCTCTCTCTCTCTCTCTCTATCTCTCTCTCTCTCACTCTCTCTCTCTCTCTCTCGCTCACTTTTCTCCCCATCGCGTGCTGCAGCGTGAGCAGCGCGCGCTTGGCGCGCGGGCCGCTCGGCCGCCAGGCTGGCCCTGGGGGCGCGCGTCGGATGCGTTATAAGTCGTTGTTGTTGTTGTTTGTTTGGTATGTTTTGTTGCTTCTCTCTCTCTCTCTATCGCTCTCTTGTGTTTCTCTGTCTCTCTCTTTCTCTCTCTCTCTCTTCTTCCCTCTCTCTCAATATCTCTATATATAAATATAGTTACACATATAAAATATACATATATACACATATATATATTATATATATTATATATATATGTGTGCATGTCTCTCTCCTCTCGCGGTCGCTCTCTCTCTCTCTCTCTCTCTCTCTTTCTCTCTGTCTCTCTCTCTCTCTCACTCTCTCTACTTCTCTCCCTCTCTCTATGTTCTCTCTCTCTCTCTCTCTCTATTTGTTCTCTCTCTCTCTCTCTCTCTCCTTCTGTTTTGTTTCTCTCTCTCTCTCTTTCTGTCTCTCCCTCTCTCTCTCTCTCCTTCTCTCTCTCTCTCTCTCCCTCTCTCTCTCTCTCGTTTTCTCTCTCTGTCTTTTTCTCTTTCTCTTTATCTTTCTCTCTCTCTCTCTCTTTCTCTCTCTGTTTCTCTCTCTCTCTCTCTCGTTCTTTCTTACCGCGCCCTCTGGCTTGACCTGCGCCTCCGTCGGCCAGGGGGGGTCGCCCTCAGACTGGCCAACCTGCGCAAGACAGTCCATCGCTGCGTCGAACTCAGGCCACGCGGTCCGCGGCCCCCCACTCGTTCGCAGCATCCGCCTGACCATCGCCGGCAGCACGTTCGCCCTCGCCTTCTGCGCGGACGAAGCCCTCGGCCTACCGCGCGGCAAGGTAAGGGCTCTGGTCAAGCGTGCCTTCTCCAAGCGTCTTCGCACCGACTCTCACTTTCTCATGCGGGTCTTAACCTGGCCGGACACCTTCGAAGCACGACAGGGCTACGACGTTGACTTGGACGATTTCTGACGGCCCCGCGGCATCGGGCGCGCCGCTTCCTTCTCTCACCATTGCGCTGCCCCCCCCCCCGTGTGAGCCGCGCCCGCAGCCGGGGTGGCGCCGTCGCCTGGCGCGCCCCCTTGCTGTTGAGGCCACGCCTCTGCTGCTGTCGTCACGGCGGGTGCGCCGCTCGCGGGCGCATCCGCCTCTTCCACATCTCCGACTTGCCCCGCCGGGGCGCTGCCCCCCGGCGAGAGCCGCGCCCGCAGCTGCGGCGGTGCTGACGCCTGTCGCATTCCCCGCTGCTGCAGCCGCGCTGCAGCTGCTGCAACC